GGGGCTCTGGTTTCCTCTGGTTGGGGAACCGAAGCTGTGGTCCCCTGGCCTCATCTGCCCAGGTAGCATCAAGGGTCTCCCATAGGAAGATCTGTGGGAGGCCCGTGGGCCACCACAGCTCATGGTGGGCCCTTCTCATCACCACCCCCCATCCCGAAGGGGCAGACCTATTCTCAAGTCCATCCTGTAACTCCCTAGCAGTCTCTTTCCATGGAGGCCCCGAGACTGTGCCCTGCTCTGAGCTTGATGGTGAATCTCTGTGTGCAGGAGCTGAGCTCTCCATGAAGAGAATGATTCACATCCTTAACCAGGAACCCATTCACACCTTATTTCTCAAAATGAGAATGCAAAAAGGGATAGACCTTTTTGCAGACCCTCTGCTTTATTTTTTATTTCTTAATTTTGTATTCCTTCACCAGAAGGGTCTGAGAGCCTTGTTGCATCTCCAAACTGTGACATCAGCATCTCTCTGGTGTGTCCAGGTGATAATTGGTGATAATCATTTTCATATAAATGCAGCATCTGAGTGGCTTCCACTGACCTTCCAGGCCCCGAGCACAAGCTGCTCGCCACGTACAACTGCCAGGCAGGGGTGGGATTCCACAGAAGCTAGAAGTGATTCTGGAAAAATGAAAATGTTTATCCAGCTCAAGGTGTTACCATCACAAGAACACTTCAGAGGCAAACAAGCTATGAGCCTATCTCACCTTTGCACGGTGTAATGTGCACGGTGTAATTTCTGGAGGGCTAATTAGTCCAAGATAGACCACTCTGCTGTTACCCACATCAAGCAAATGAGAGGTTCCGCCGTGGTGAGCTGAACAGAAATGATGTGCAAGTAACTGGATTTAAGTCTTGAAAACCATGATGTAAATTACTCCAGCGGCAAGACAGCCTGCTGCCCATTGGCTTTGAAATCAGCAAAATGAATAGGCTTGTGATCTTAGAATACAAACATGTTGGGGTCTCCCTAAAATACCTCCTATTTCTATTCCTTTTGAGAAGGCCCATCTTCAATAGCAGATTCAGGGAGGTGTAGACTTGGCATCTATACTTCAAGCTGGCTTGCTGGCTCCCTGCTGAGTTCTCTCCAACAGGCATCCCTTGGTTTTGGTCTGTCTAAGATAGAAAAGCAAATGCCCGAAACATTCTTCAAAGTGCTCAGGGCGACTGCAGAAAATAGGCTTCTGGGAGGGCATCGTCGTAATAAATCATGTGAACTTGATTATCATTTAGATTACTCGTTCAATAGGGAAAATAAAGCTTTGCAATCAGAGCTGTAGATAAGGGCTCTGCATGGAGGAAAAACAGCTCAAGCCCCATAAACAACCAATCATGTTGGCGTAGGGTGATCCTGGTGACACTGTCAGCTGTCTGGATGTTGAGACCACCCGTCTGTGTGTGTGTGTGTGTGTGTGTGTGTGCGCGCGTCCGCGTACGCGGGTGCGCGCACATCCATTTGTGGGGATTATAAAAAACACCCCCATGTGTTTATGGAGATTAATGGGATGTCAAGACTTGATTTTACTAGAGCAGCCTCAGAAGTTCCAAAATCTTGGTACCTGGTTGTTTGCTGACTTTGTAACAGGCAAGGGTTTAAGGAAGCCTGGCCTTGCCAAATTAAATTAACAATAGGCCCGCTGTTTGTATTCAGTAATGACCCAGATGCAAGACATTTGGGAAAAAAATTTTCTTCAGAAATACAAAATGGGCAATTTGCTTTAGTAACTTTATTGGAGGGAAAAAAAAAAAAAAAAAAAAAAAACCCTCCCCTATCTGAACTATAATGGAAGGTAAATACAACTGCAGCTTCTATTGGTGAATTGGAATATGCGAAGCTTCAAGAAAAATCCATAAAAGCCCTGTAAGTAGGCTGAAAATTGTTCTCACCAGTCACTAATTTTGCAAAGACAGGACTTCCATTAGGAGAGAATTGAGAGGTGGGGTCCTCACTGTAGTTTTGCACAGAGCACACGCAGGGCAGGTTCCACCCACCACTGTGGGTCGTGCAGCACGCATCCTTGAGGAGCCAACTCTTGCTGCAGGCAGGTCCCTGTGGTCCTGGGCCACCCTTCCTCTCACCCCCAGCCCCCACCAGCTGTCAGGGAACACCTTGTTCTGCTTCATGACTCAGCTGTCTCCTGCTCTTGAGTCTTCCCAGAGCCCCTCTCCCCTGGTGGACCTGACCTCTGCTCCCGGAGGCCTCCTTCGCCCTGCACAAGCTTTGGTCCTGACACCTAAGGGCCTTATTTATCTGGCTCTCATCCTAGGCTCTGAGCTCTTAGTCTTATTTATCTTTGTATTGTGACTACCTAGCACCAAGGAGATAAAAATGTAATTGTCAAATAAATGGGTTGCTTAACTCAAAGCCTGGAGTCACCCTTGATTCATCTCTCCTGGCCCCATGACTCACTTTGCACCTGTCCAGGATAGATGAGCCACGTGGCTACTCTGCACACTGAGCACTGCCGTCTGTCATCCACCTGGCTGCAACTGCCTGGCCTGTCACCCTGCTGCCACTGTTGCATCTCTACCACTCAGTTCATGTTCTGAAGAGCTACTGTGGTCATCTTTTAACAGTAAAAATCAGATCTCCTGTTTTAAACTCCATATGGCTCTCCATCTCTCTTACTCTGTAGGTAAACCTTTAATAGGCTTGCAAAGCTCCCTAAACAGGTTTGCAAAACCCAACTTAGGTGGTTCCTGATTCTGGCACGTTAGAGTCATCTGAAGATTCTGGTTGGGATTCCAATGCCCGCGCATGGAAATCTTTGTCCAAATCTCCAGTTGGCTGTCAATGTAACCTGGGTGAGAATCCCAGCAGTCTTTGTCCTCACCTCTGTGCCCTCCCTCCCTCTGCTGCAAGCACGGAGATCCTCATCTGGTTCCTGCCACAGGAACTCACTGTTCCCTTCTCCCAGATCCACCCACACTGGCCTTTGTGGTCATTCGAGTCTGGGTTTAAAGATCTCCTCTGCAAGGGGCCTTCCTGCCACCCAGTCCCCCTTTACCAGAGGGTGGCATTTCATTTTCATTAGAGCACTTGGTAGATACTTTGTAGCTGGTTTGTTAATTGTCCAGCTCCTCTCTGAACAATTGAAACCCTGCAGAGGCAGGATCTTATCTATTATTTTTTACTCTGAGCATCCCCTGGCAACATCGTAATTGCTCATGAAGTGTAGAGGGAAGGGAAGGAGTATGTGGGATGCAAATACGCAGCCACGAGTTGGTGGCAGTGTCCTGAGGTTAATGGTGAGTGTATACAGGGCTGGGCTGACATGGGCTGAGCCTGGCTCTGCCACTCACTCATTTACTGTGTGCACCTGAGCAGGTAACCCTTTTGAACTTCAATGACCTCAACCCTAAAATGCTAAAAGTCATGAGCATGTCACAGGGTGGGTGTGACGACTGAGATCACACGAGGAGGTGTCCACTAAGGGCTGGCAGTGTTGTCGTAAACCCTAATGCTGCACTCAGGTGTGCGATGCTGCTGCCTGGCTGCTGCCTCTCCAAGTGCTGAAAGCCGCTCCCCCTAGGTGTGCTCTTCCCAGTCTGGTGAGGCTGGGAGCCGTGCGCAGGGCAGGCCCTCCCCTTTCTGCCTCTCTCTGTCCTCCCAGCCAGGAAGGGCCCTGCCATTCATCACATGGGCTTGGGGCTGTTATGAAAACTCACAGTCAAAAATAAATAAATACATGAATTAATAAATAAATATACAAACAAATAAATGGGGGTTGGCGGAGACACAACAATCATAACAATTCCTTGAGCTTGTTAAGATAAGTGAACAGATATGATGTTGATGAGGGAGGGGGGAAAGGGAAGGGGGAAAAGAGGAATTGGTAAAGGGACACGAAAATCAACTACACTGTCTCTTGATAAAATAAAATAAAAATGAAAACTCATAGTCAGCAGCAGCCAACATGCTAGCGCTTCCCAGGGTGGGGTGGAGCCCCCGGCTGGGGACACCTCCCGGACAGAGATCTGCTTGTTTTGCACCTAACGTGGGCTGCTGGGCCCAGAATTCAAACGTCTGCTGTGGCAGAGCAGGCCGAAAAGAGATCTGGAAACAGGACAGACAGTGGTGTGTCAAATAGCTCACATTTGCTTTTGTTTACTCTTGGAAATGAGCAAGGGGGCACAGGCCCAGGGGTCGGGGGAGATGAACAGAAACACACCCAGGAGCCCACTGCAATTCTGCGATGCTTTGTAAGGATGCCAAGTGGCCTGTCTGCTTACGCTGAATGAAGGCCGTGAGCTAGTTACTGTCCAAGGGTTCCAGAAAGCATGGCTGCTGCTCAGATACACCCCCATGCAAGAAGCACCCCAGGAGCATTTGTGTGTGCCAGACCCTTGGCTAACCTACGGGACTGAAGGTCTCATGGGAATTTCAGAGTCGTTGCAAAAGTCCCCTTCTCAGTTATTGCAAAAGGGCATACACTGTTTTTTTTAATGCATGCTATTTTCAAGTGTGCCATCTGTAAGTAACATTGTGATTCGTAATACGTACTTACATTGAAAAATATCCCAGTCTTATAGTGATTTTAACCTCTGTACTCTCTCAATCAAAGAACATTGAGCATACATGACTATTGTGTTCTTGTCCATTAGCTTTTTGGACATTGGAAACAGGGCAAGGTGGTCTTCATCTTGCAGAGGCTGAGCAGCCTGTTGGAGAACCATAGACATGAGTGAAACCCCATGCTCTCAAAACACTCTAGGGATAGCTGGGAGATTTCCTTATCCTTAGAGGCCTTAAAAATCCAATGTGCTAACATTCTTCACGCCCTTACTTAACTATTGTCAAGACGACTGTGGTTGGTCGATTGTCAATACAACCACTTATAGTATATGAGTCTCTACTGAGTCTTGCAGCATTTGTAACAGGCTGTGGCTTAGATTAAGAATCAATAAGAGTTTGTACTAAATTCACCACAGTGTTTCCCTAAAAATGTGTGATATTCTGTACCTTCTGAAATTAATCCTCTTTCCATTTTTTCCAGATAACTTGTTCAAACCCAAAGAAAGGTACATTTCAGAGAAGGAGATGCATATGCGATCTAAAAGGTACTGGACTATTGTGTAAATTGGAAAGAATTTGGGGAGGGGGGAGTGAGGGTGCTTCGATGGGTCCAGGTGCTGCCCAACAGAACCATTATTTCTAGGTCTCTGTTTAAGGCCTTAGGTCTTCCTGGCCACAAATCTGAAAAACTTGCTAAAATGAGTGCAGTTGTTGAATTGTGACTCTGAATGTTAATGCTCCTCCTGGAAAAACCTTAGGAAAGTGGTAGGTCTTGGATTCTGAACCAGTCCAGTAATTGGTCTCTGAGAGGTCCCCAGACTCTTAACTGGAACTTGCCTGCCCATTCACATTGTCACTCTGGGCCGGAGCTATTTGTCACCACACCTTTGAAGGTAATGTTATAAAGAGAGGGGAAGCTGTTTCTCCTGAGAGCCTTGCCTGTGGCAAGACCTGAAGGAAAGAATCCAAACTTGGAAGCCTATGGTGCGTGGGAGCCAGTGGAGCCAGGGAGGGGCCTCGAGCTGGCTTTCCTGGTGTTCCATCTCCGGCAGTTTCCACGGGGCCAGCACTTTCTCCCTGTCCTGCTTGGCTGATTGCTATTCAAGTCTCCTACTGATCCTCACCAACCTAGTGCACACAAAGGCTGCCATTCTTTGAGACCTGGCCTCCTAACCAAAATGAAATAGCTCAGCAGTGTTGGCCAAGTTCATGCAAGTAAAATGTCATTACTGTAGCTTATAATAAAGTTTCTAGCACTGGGAGGAATTATAATAATTAAATCAAATTGATAGTGCACTTAGAGAAACCATTGAAATAGGAAGAATATTTTTCTCCCCACTCCAGGCACAAAATCTCTGCTCTTACCATGATTATGTTGTTTCCAATATTATTAGGTCAATTTGATCATCAATAGGGAGCCTCTGTAAATAAGGAGGTGAAAGTGAAGAGAGGGGGACCATCCCATTGAAGACCTGACCCATAGCATTCTAGCCAGGGTTTTTAAAGGGCCCACTGGGTTTTAAAACTTGCTGTTTTAGAAGTGTGCAGTTGTGTACACCTCATGCCAAAAGCATTCCCTTTTCAGTTGAGTGGCAAATTCAGCCAAATCTTCCCCTCCAAGTCCCCAAACCCAAAGCTACTATTATTGGCCTTTGCAAACGAGGCAATTAAAATAAGAGATCTCGAAGCAGCATTAGTGGACCGAGAGTATTGTCCTATCATTTTAATGAGAAGGAAACTGAGGCTCCAAGGGGACAGATGAGTGAGTTGGGGCTGTCCCCTCACCCCCGTCACTGGCTTCCCCCTGCTGGTCTCCTCTGACGGAGGCAGCAATCAGGTTTTCGCTCTGCTCTGTGGGCTGCGCCCTGGGTGGGCTCTGACCTTGGCTCACCCACAGAAGCACACCAGAGCTTTCTTTTCTTGGTATTCTTTGTTATTAATAATATGGTTAAATTACATTTTCATTTTAAAACTTGAGACAATGGAGATAAAGCTAAATTTCCCTTATGACCAACCATCCCCTCCCTCTCTCCATCCCACTTTCCCAGTCCCTGTCCTGTGTCTCAAGATGCCCACAGTTATGTCTTCTGCGTCTCCTTCCAGGCCTTTCTCTCTGCCTTAAAATAGACTTCTGTCTTTACATATGCAATTATGTGATTGTTAACCATAAATGGCATCATCCTTAGAGTATCTTCCTGCGGCTTGCTTTTTTCACTTTATGTCTGTGAGCTCATTCTGTGTCAGCAGATATAGATTATTTTCCTCATTGGTTTTGACTACCCACAGAGTGGTCCACTGTATGAATGGACCATGATTCATTTGGGAAGCTTTTAAAGAAAATACTGAGTCAGTCAAAAAAGAAAAAGAAAACATTGAGTCAGAAGCTACAGAGGTGGGACCTGGTGGTTTTAATTTTAAACTCTCCAGATGATTCAGATGGTTAGTATCAGGAAGATAGGTCTACATGGATCTGAAAAAATTTTCTTTACAGAGCTTTTGTACATGTGAGCTTTCCTACTGATTTCTTTATGGTCTTCTTTCCTGGTCCTTTCTAGAATCACTCCTGAATGTAGCAACTCTGTGTTCACTTATTTATGCATTCATTCAATGTGTGTTGATGCCCAGGGTATGCCAGCCACTGTACTGGGCATGAGCATTTCCCAGACCTCATAAGTAGCTTTATGCTACTTAGTTGGGTGACACTGTTGGGTGGTAAGAGTCAGCTGAAGTTGGAATGTCAGCCCACCACCAGCTGACCGAGGGGAGTTAGGCGAGTCTCCTGATCTTGCTGGGGCTTGGGTTCCTCATTTATATAACAGGGGGACACTATATGCCTCTTCCAACTGTCATGAGGATTAAATGTGATCATTCATGTCAAGTGATTAGCCTAGTTCCCTATAACCAATATGTCACCTGCTAATATTGTCATTATAATTTTTATACTCTCTACTTGTTATTTTAATGATGGAACATTTTAAACAGATTGGATCTGGCTTTCAAACATAAGAAGAAATGAAGAGAAGGTGTTTTAGCTGAGTGCCATGTGTATAGCAACCCAAAACAGGCTATAGTGATTCCACCGTGTCAGTGGATTCTAGTAGAAATATTGGTTGGTATCAGTACAGGAGAAGTTTCTGTTAGGAAGTAGGAAAGAAGTGTCTAGAAGAAGGATCCCTCGGGCCTTGCTTGTAACTTGGAAGCTCCTACGTTTACATCAGGACAAGAACATAATACTTATTATGCCTGGGATGTATTTGGTAGCAGCTTAATTAGAAATGCAATAGGTGGAGGTAAAAACACATACATTTATGTGTGTTTTATTCCAGTATTATAGTTCCTGCTACTCTAGTTAATTCACTCACTGATCCTTGTCTAAGTCACAAGGCAAAAACTGAGTGTCAGAAATGTATTTGGGGCCAGGTTTACAATCAGGATGGCACTGAGTAGGCTTAGAATCCCTCATTTAAAAGTAGTTAATTATCATAGAGATGAAGGGACAAGAAAAGTGACTTGTTAATAAGCAACTGGCCTCTTCAACTTTGCCCCAAAGGGGGACTCTGCCTGTTGCCCTGGCCCCGAAGCACAGAGACAAGGCACTGTCCCTGTGTGCAGCTCTGTTCTGGGGACTGGCTGGGAAGCCCTTCACCCTGCATGTCACAGTTTCGAGGCAGCCCCTATGCAGCCATCCTCCCCTTGAGATGTGAGAGCTGCCGAAAGACAGGACACAGCCCCACCACAGGCACACGCTGTCGGGCCACCATTCAAAATGTTTCCTGAATCTGTTTCAGAATCTATAATAACTTGCCAGAAGTTAGAAAGAAAAGAGAAGAGCAAAAGAAAAGGGTGATCTTACAGAGCAACAGACTCCGCGCTGAAGTCTTCAAAAAGGTAGCGCTTCGTCCCTGCAGGGGTGGTGTGCATGGGGTGCAGTGGTGACCCTGAACTTGACATCTCTGTTTCCTGCCCCTCCAGCAATTACTGGACCAGCTCCTTCAAAGGAACGCGGTCTAACCACAGGCTGCCCTGCTGACCACACCGCCCAGACCTGGACGACTTCAAGCGCTGGGCCAGCCATTAAACTTAGCATTATCTTCATGAAGTGAAAACGCTTGTATTACTTACGATTTTTCTTTTTCATAAAGGAAACGATCACATCCTGAATTATTGACCCAAACCCAACAGAAATAATAACCCTCGAAGAAATAGGTCAACAACCTGTTGCGGAGAAACCAATACTCACCAGACTGAGTCCCCTTCATCTCTTTACATCCAAATTTTACCTTCTGCTTCTGATTCTCACCCCCCTCCCCGGCCATTTCCACCCAAACAAAAATGTCTTGTGCACTCATGTGTGCTTAGATCCCTGGGGGATATTTTTCCATCAAATTTCAAGGACCAAAATCCATCACTTTATAAATACCAATCCCAATGTCTGCCAGTTCTGCAAGCTCCATGTGGGTCATCACATTGCTTTAAAACTTTCTGGAGCTGTGCACCATGTAACATCAGAGGCTGATTTTGCAAATAAGTGGGTGCTGTGCCTGAGACTCTGGGGCGAGCGGTCTGTGTCTGCGTGACCTGGAGCAGTCAGCACAGTCCCCAGCCCCCACCCACCCACCCTACCCCCTCACAGCACCTTTCTGCACTACGCAAAACCATCTATTTTGATGAAAGCCCTTTTGGGGGGCAACTTTTGGGGGTTAAATGTGCAGAGAGCTTCAGTGTTTCGGCACATCTGCCCCCCAAAAGTTGGGTTGTTAAAAATGGCCTAGTGACTCCAACTCCGCTATTTGTTTTTCCAAACATTTACAATATTCATTATTTATGAATGTGTGTTTTGGGAGTTAAGGACAAACTAGATTTTACAACAAAAATGGAAATAAATGCAGTTGTTACAAAGATGCGAGTGTGTTTCTGGTATGTGCTCTGCTGTGGACGGGGCAGCTGCGATAGGTGACGCTCAGTGTGAATGCCGCCCAGGCCCAGCGGGTGCCACTCACCTGCTCCTCCTCCGCCTTCTGGCCACCAGGGAAGTCCTCGTGCTTCAGATGCCCCCGTGGAGAATGGCGCCTCCCAGAGAGCTGGTACAAGAGAAGCAGGGAAAACTGTTGAGAGCAAGATTCAGGATCCCTAAATCTCTCTAGGAATCTCCCTTGAGTGAGATGGAAGTTTGGGGAATGAAACAGAAGCCCTGGTGACACCTCTGTCCCTTTCCCGTGTTGCCACCCTTCCCTCCCTCCTCCCACTGCTGCACATGCTGTCCGCTCTTGCTTTACGTGTCTGTTGGAAAACTGTTTAAAAGCTCTGCCTCGAGGTTCTCTCCTGACCCTGTGCCCTCCCTGCCCTGCCCTCCAGTGTGAATTAGAAACTTCACTGTGGTGCACATTGCATCAGAGCCTGTGCCATCCTGCCCATGGGAGGTGGTCTGACAACACTGTCAGGAGTGGAGGCTTAGGAGCCGACTGCCTGGACTCAAATTTTGGCTGCTGCTCCCTGGTCTGTGTCCAGCCAGGAGAGAGAAATGACACAGTAACTTGAACAAGAAGGTTTATTATTAACCATAACAGAGGACTGGAGCAGTGGGGATTGCTTAGTAAGAAGTAAAGATTGCTCTAAAGAACGTAGGTAGGAACAGCAGATAAAAGAGCAGCACTCTCTCCAGGAAGAGCATCCACTCCTAGCCCTGGGCTGAGAGGGAACAGGTGTGGCTCAGCAGGTGACAGAGAAGTTTCTATGGTGTCATTCTGATGGAACTTGTTGGAAATCTACCCTCTGGAATTTCCAGAAATCTGCCCTCTGTATGCACAGGGAGTTGTCTCATAGGAGGCACTCTGCCACAATACCACCTCAGGCAGGGTGCTGGGGCAAGCAGCTGGCCCCTGGGGCTGCTGGCTGAGTGCACTGCAGGAGCCTGGCTCTGGAGCCTGCTGAGCAGGTGTAGGATCTAGGGAGCAGCACCCCTTTCTCCTGCAGTGTCTCTCCATCTCCCCCTACTGGCAAGGCTTAACATTGCACCAGCAGGCAAAGGGAAAACACTTAAAGGGCCTGAATCCACGTTAATAGAGCAGGCAAAAAGGGTGAATTTGGAGGTGAGAGAGAATACCATCAATAACTGGCACAGCAAGTTGTTTAACGGCCTCAGTTTTCTCTACTAGAAAATGCAGATAATTATAGTGGCTCCTTCATTGGTGCTATGCATCCCCCAAAGTTCATGTGTTGGAAACTCGATCTCCACTGCAGCAGTGTTAAGAGGTGGGAAATCTGATTTTGATATTTGAAAGGTGGGGCCTTTGAAAGGTGATTGGTTCTCAAGGACTGTGCCCTCGTGAATGGATTTATCCATTCATGGAGCAATGGGTTGTCATGGGTGTGGTTCTGATGGCTTTCTAAGGACAGGTAGTGAGATGGTCAGCTCTCGCTCATGAATTTCTTGCTGTGCAACACCCTGTGTCACTGTAGAGTCACCACCAAGAAGGCCCTCACCAGATGCACCCCATGGACTGTGGACGTCCCAGCCTCCAAAACTGTAAGAAACGAATTTTGTTTCTTTATAAATGATCCAGTTTCAGGTATTCTGTTATAAGCAATAGAAAAGAACTAATACAATTGGATTGCTATGGGAATAGAAAAAGTCAGCGTGAGTTGAGTGCTTACTGGAAGAACAACTGGCCCAAAGCAAACACACCGTGAGTGTTCCTGTAGTAAGTAGAGGTGGAAACAGGAGTGTCCCGGGAAACCCAAGAGCACGGGGCCATGAATTGTTCATCCCAGTCCTTCAGGTTGGCAGTGAGATGCTCCAAAAGACCACTGAATTCAAGGGTATCACTCCAGCAATAATCAGTCATGCAAACAGGACACTTCGTAATCCTATTTTGTTGTCTTTCGTGCTCTTCTTACTCCTAGAAACCATTTCAGCAGCATGGCAAGCTTACCTTAAGTTAATTCTTGCTTTCTTGAACTTATTTGACCTTTTCCAGGATGCTACATTTCTATTTATATTTTAAATGCTTTTTAAACAAATTTTTAATTCAATCTATGATATTAAAGAACAATCTTTCTTAGGCAAAGATCCTACACACCTTTTCTTATTTTTCTTTCATATCCCCAGAGAGTTTCCAAAGCTTTTCCCAACCCATCATTTAAATTCAGAGCCCAGCCACTTCTAGACTGTCCTGTGACCCTTTTCAAGAAGTGGATTTATGTCTAACATTTGAAGAGAGAATGCCTAGATGGAGCCAACTTTCAAAAATGGTCATAAAGAGCTTATCCCCTTTGGAAACCTGATGGCAAGTCTTAAAATCTAAAGAATAAATAAAAGTCACATAAGATTAAATGCCATTGACTAATGTATGTCTGAGGACAGTTCTGAGATATCTGAGGTGGAGAACTGGTTAGGAATGGATGATGTCTGGTTTGAGCTGGTCTTTCCCCTGGACAGCTAGCTCAGGACAGGCTGGAAACAGAAGTTTGGTTTTCTGTCAAATGATTTTCTTTTCCGATTGTTGTTGAAGTTGTTTGTCTTTTAATGCTGATAAGCAAATTTCAGATATCCAGCATTTCTTTTCTGTTATAAGGTTTTAACAGAAATATAATAATGTTATAATAAATATGAAATAATAATGGCCATCCCTTATATTGTTCTCAGGAATTGGCCATTTGTTGGATTCTCTTATTAAAATCAGACTTCAGGAAACACTTTGAGGATTTGGAAAATTCCAAATAGAATTTACCATTATACTTCAATAATCAAATTCTTTTCTGGAATTGATTTATTTATATCTGAGTGCACTTTGGTTCTGGCCTAGAACAATTCTGCAATGATGTGGCAGGTCGCAGGATGAAAGATTTTAGCTGATGTTCATGAGCTTGGACCGAGTAACATTTGAAATCATTTGCGATGACCAGGCTGCAGCAACACCAGTCTCTCTCCCTGTGGTCTCCATGACTTCATGTCGAAGGAGAAATTCCTATTTTGGTTATTTGTCCTCTCTGCCAGCTGGTAATGGAATAATGGAAAAACAATTGCCTTGGTTTTTTTAGCTGGTGTCTACTGCCAACTGAACTTCCTGGAAGTGTGTGCGCCCTGAGTGAGTCAGCAGATGCTTGCTCAGATTTAACAAGGCTCTTTGAAAGAATAATTTGTGAAACAACCAATTGTGGAAGAGTGGTTGAAAATTCTATGCCTTCAAAATTCCCCCCATTTCAACACTTACTGGTATGAAAATTGCCGGCAGTGGACCTGGTCTCTGACTGCATCAAATGACCCACAGTCTGGGTATGAGACACTTCAGAGGCAGGACAAACAGGGACGGGGGTGTTGTGGCCACCCAGCAGGAGATCTGACAGTTAAGGAAATAAGAACATGATAGAAAAATGATCCACTGTGGGTTTGTGTGAGAGTGTTTGCGTGCGCATTGCAAAAGCAAAGGAAATGATGTGTTAAGTGATTAGACTAAGTTCATCACAGATGTTTCTACGTTATAGAGATAGCACATTTCTACTTTCATTAATACTTGATAATTACCCATGAATGTCTAGCTCTATTAGAAGACTTTTGAAATTGGCTGTCACTTGCTGAAGCAGCCTGCACCAGGGACTGAATCATTATGGAAATCCCTCCAGCCTTCTTTTGTCTGTCCCAGGCTGACGGGACATTTCCCCACTGAGGCAGGAGACCAGGCCATCTAAAAGCTTCCTAAGATTCCATTGGATCCCCCTTCCTCCCTACAGTTAGGCTGCTCGTCCGGGACGGGCGGACTCCTTTACTCACGCAGATGTTTTAGCCACATGGAAAGCAGCAACTCTGGCAAGTCAGAATTGAAGGTGTTTTTTTTCCAAGTTGTGTCTGTTGCCTCAGGCACAGTTCTGATCCTGAGACCCCAAGAGGCTGTCTGGGGTAGTTCGTTGTCTGGGATGTATGTTGGGGGGCTAGAGGGAGGCACTGAAGTCTTTCTGCTTTTCTTCTTGCTTCTTTAAGAAGGTTTTCACAAACACATTCTGCTGTGCCCTGCCATGGTGCAGCCGGAAACGTGACTTCAAGCAGTGGCCTTTCTCTCAGATCTTAGTGCAACAGGAACTTGAAGGGGCGGAAATGGGAGGAAGAGACTTTACTTGCCTCTAGCATCTTAAAAAATGCTGGGTTCTTCTTATCAAAGCTTAGAAGGGAAGAAAAAGAAGCTTATGATTGAAATTGCACCGAGAAAAAAAATGCATTTCTTTAAATCATTTTTATTAAACAGCACCAAGAGTGAATGACATAGAAAAAGTGTCCTTTTGATGACTTTCAGAGTATTCCTCCTCTGTTCAAACATCTTTGCTTTCCTGACATGCCTGAAACGGTGCAACAGCTGTACCAGACATCAAGAAAAAGATATTACAACTGTTGACATGTTAGCTATGAGGATAGATGATTAATATCCTCTCATCAAAGCCAACGAGACTGTGGCTTTACCTGCCCAGTGATGTCAGTGAGGGACTTTATAAATCTTTTCACCTGTGCCAATTATAAAAAAAATAAACCCTTTTATGTTATATCCACT